GTCTGTAAATATGAGCAAAGCAGATTTAACTGAGGAAATAATAATAGCATAGTAATTAAACTCTTAGATGGCATTTTTTATCTTCAGCGGTCCAGCCTTTTCCAATGGAGGTAAAGAACACAAAGCCAGAGGACATGACTCAGCCTTGCAGGAAGACCCCCTGCTGTCACACACATCAAATCCTATTCATAGCTGTTCCCAGCTCTAGGTTTGAAGTAGTTTCATTTCCTACCATTACTCCTGCTGAGATGCTCTTTCAGGACCTCACTGCTGCAATGACTAGAGGCATCTAAATTTTGGTTATGCATTTCTTATTCCAGTCTTATTATACCAGTCTCCTTCATTAGTGGAAATAATTACATGCCCTTACTTTTTTACTCTCCCTTTGGATGAACTTATGGGCAGTTATAATGGCCTGTCATTGCCTTTCCAGGCAGAAGATAAGCTCATATTGCTCATATTCTCACAAGTTCTCCATTCTCCCACACTCTTCTATCCATGTTTATGTTCTCCTATGCAATCCATATTTCCTAAATGGCACCACTCAATATGATGGTAGCAATAATCATCATCAACAAGACAGCAGTAATCATCATCAACATCACCTTATATGTTCTTTTCTATTAAGAAGCAATCAGTCACAGAGTTCTGCCACTCCTAGTTGGAGAAATGAATCTCAGTTCTTTCTCTACCATGCTTCTTCCTGCATTTTACTGGCTTAGATCCACCCAAAAAACTACCTATCAATTCTGATCAAAGGCAGGGCACTTCTTTCTTCCCTGAGCTGATAGGTCTTGTGTACTCACAAGAAGGGGACCGGTAAGAAAGCTGGAGAGGGACTGCTTACAAGACAATGTAGTGATAGGACAAGGGAGAATGGCTTTAAACAGAAAGAGTGTAGGGTTAGACTAGGTAGTAGGAAGAAATTTGTCACTGTGAGGCACTGTAACAGGTTGCCCAGAGAAGCTGTGGGTGCCCCATCCCTGAAAATGTTCAAAGCCAGGTTGGATGGGGCTTTGAGTAATCTTCTAATGGAAAGTGTCCTTGCCCATGGAAGGAGGATTGGAACTAGATGATCTTTGAGGTCCCTTCCAACCTAAATAATTCTACAATTTAATGATAAGGAGGACCAAGTCTCCAGCATTCACAGGCTAACAGAGTAACGATGGTGAGACCAAAGAAACCGCTGTGTCTTGCCCACACTCTCCTCTGGAGTGTTCTCAAACCAATTGAAAGATCAGCCATGGTAAGGCCCAGTCAAAGAAAAATAGTGGTAGTAACATACTGAGGGTACATGTAATCACACCCTTTAATTATTTTGTTCAGCAGTGTCTCCAGCTTGAAAGCCACAAGTCACTTGAGAGTCTTTTTTGCAAGTAAACAAACAGTATCAACTACTTCCAGTCATAGCCTAGCCCCCTCAGCACTTATGACGAAGGACATTTGGGAGCCAAAGCAAGCAAACATTATGATTCATTTATCCCACAGCTTAGCAGATGGATAGATGAAACCTTTATAACCAAGGCAGAACAAGGCCTCTGCAGCTTTAAATGAATAGCACCATTAAAGCCTCATGAGACACAAACACTGGCAATGCCTCATTATCCACAAAGGAATCAAGATGTGCATTTCTATAAAATTTACGTACATATAAGTGAAGTTCCTGCGGCACAACTCAAAAGATGACAAACTAGTAAAAACAGTGAGAGAGGACCTTCACTTCTTATCAGGACTGAGATACTGATCTTTTCAACATGTTACAAAGCAGTTTGCTGTTTACACCTGAAGTCATTGTCAGGTTCCGGGACAATTTAGACTGGGGCAAAAACTTAAAATTTATAGAAAGGACACACAACTATAAGAACCAAACGACACTTTGCAGTTAAAGATTCAGAAATGGATGAATTTCCCAAGTTCTAACAAGTGAGCTTTGTTCTACATGAGTTTTCTGAACTTTCCTCATAATAATAATAATAATAATAATAATTATTATTATTATTATTATTATTATTATTATTATTAGGGCCTGGCTGAAGAATTTCAGGAAGATAATATGTGCTTTTTGAAAACTGTCTGGAGTTATATTTCAGTTGCTTTATTAAGCTCTTTGCATTGTGTATACTAGGTAATGTATAAACTGATAGAGACTGTAGTTTCCAGCACAATGAACACACTAAAGCAGAATATACATACACATATATGTGTATAAGTGGTTTACTTATCAATGACATGAGTTTGTCCACTGGAGGCAAACTCGTTTATGATATTTCCTGTCCTATATAACTGGTTTTTCCAGTCTTCTGCTGCAGCCCAGCAGAGCCAGGAAGGAGCAGGCAGACACTGTCTGCCATGGGAGCTGAGCTGGCTGAGAGCTGTGGAAAGGGTGACAGGCCCCAGCTCACCTGCAGTCACTCAGCAGACTTCCTCCAGGTCCCAGCAGGGCTTTTTGTACTTCATCCATGCACACAGGACAGCTCTTTCTTTTCTTCCTGTAATAGCTGTGGAACTTTATGACCACACAATCTGTGAGCCACAAATGTTTTTCCAAGGCACCAGCTAGATATTTTCGGCCTCCTTCTTATGTTGAATTCCACAACATATACCTTTGGGCCTGCTTCCCAACCTCTTACAGTATTTTAATTTAGTGCAAGCCTGTGCTTGCTCTGCACAGAGCTGCCAACATTAAAGTAATTTCCCAAGAAAGCCCAGCAGCTTTGACTATATGACAAGGTGTCTCTGGGCTTTAGACTGATTCTTTTTGTAACCTCTCTGATAACCCGAAATCCAGTGATCCACAACCAGTCATTCCTTTATCCGTGAATCCATGAAGAATGGACTCATCTTACTTTGTCTTAAACTGGTGGAAAAAGACAGACACCTCTGAGATGCAACTCATCCCATTTATTTTAGGCACCAGAGAGAAGTCTTTCTCCACTGAGTGGAGAGGAAACATCAAAGGCTGTCTTGGATTACCTCTATTCCTTTAGGCTTTGCGAAGGCTGGATGAGAGGTACCCCACCCTAGGCTATCCTTAGCAGCTGCAAGGTTATGGATAGGGAGTTCTCAGCTCCAAAACATAAGAACTATTTTTTACTTTTTTTTTTTTTGCCCTGCTGGACCTGTTGGTTTATAGACTTGAGGCAGAATAATCATAAACACTTTAATTAGCTGTTCATACCTAAAACACTATTCCTGGCAATGATATTTCAACAAGGAGGTCCTCGTCCTCCTGCATGCATGCCTTCCCTCCCTAGCTACTAGAATTGAAAATGTAACTTTCTTGTCTTGATCAGTGAAGATCAACTCTATGCGCAGGTCAGCCCTTGTTTTCACTTGCTCCCACATTTATTTAAGTTTTGTTTGGGAACCAGCAGATGAAATTTTTTGGTGCTCTTCACATTATATTTAGGTTCAGTTTGGGTGCTACTCTGGTCAAACATTAGTTATGCTGCCTATTTAGATGGATAAATGACATCAAGATCACATACACTGAAAACTAGAAAATAGTTGTTAACTCAATTTGTGTTTCCTTAAAACAACTTTTGCACAAAAATCCTCTGTCCTGGATGCTAATTCATGCCAAGCCCATGGTACACCAATCTTTTCCTCTCTGAGGTGTAGGTGTGCCTCTGAAGTTGTTGAAGGTAGACTAGCTCTCTGGAAAATGCTATAAACCCACACAGTCCTAGGAACGAGGTATCCTTGTCCTCATTATATCCATAATTTTTCTGAAGAGAAACGTTGTGCAGAGCCCTGAATCCTTGATGTTCCCTAATACTGTACTTCTTTTCAGGTTTGGGAAAGAGCTGCCATCCTCAAAGAGACATCTCATGTCTCACATCTCTCTTCCCATTCCACTCACACACCAGCATTTTGGTTTATTTGTTTACCATTTTTCCACATAACATTTTCAAAACCTAGATAAACCATGTTGCCCTTGTATATAATGATGCAAATCAGTGTAAAGCATTTACATTATGTATATCTCTTGTTCAAATCTATCTGTAAAATATTTAGACTGTGTAGTTCAACTGAAGACATCTGCTTATGAGGAAAGCCTTCAGAATATTGTACTAGTAGTCAGAGAAGCAAATATAATTTCATAAAAGATAAGCCTTTGTTTTGTTAGTTTCCTTTTGTATTCAAGATGCCACCATGTAACAGTAATTCTCTAAATACCTAATTTTTATCTTATATTTATATTTTTTCTCCTCATCTGCCTAGGAAGGGTCTGAGATATTTAACTTTCTTATGGCATCAGTACTCTGTATACCAAAAGTTCTGTTTTTTTCCAGTACTTAGTGAAATCCAACCCTGCACCTACAGCCAGTTGTGTGATCACACTACTCCTGGAGGATACAGATGGAAAGGAAGAGGAAATTACATGTTTAAACATTACACTTATTGACAAACCTAATTTGTTCTCTAGGTATAGACCAGCAATTGCTTGAAAATAATGACCATTCCTGATGCTCCTAAAACATTTTCAATGTTCCTTCCAGTATTGGTCAGTTAATCAATAGCTTTCTCCCTTCAAAGAACAGATATCCAAGTGGACTGAGTCTTCTCCTTGCATCTACCTTCTTCCCATCTGCCCATAAAATACTTGTAGTCCTTATAATCTTTAATATTCTACACTTGGAAACAGTGAGTCCTGTGGTGTTCTCTGGATGCCCTTGACCTAAACTGCATCAGAACTCTAATCTCTGTGCCTGTATCTTCACAACAAGCGTTTAGAGTATTTAGAGGGAGACTTTGGTTTGAATCTCATTACATATGAATGTTCTTGCTAACAGAGTGAAGATTTCTTAACTCAGGCCACATCCTACTGTTCAAAATCCTTCCAAATATTTATTGGACCAAACTTAGAGCCAACTAAAAGTGGTGGTGGAAAGGAATAAGGTCATGATCTCTCCCAGATGGATGTGAGCCATTCACTTCTCTAGTGTGTTACAATTTGGTCTTTTGGAGCCAAAGTTTTTCCTGATTTTTTTCCTAGAGTTTGAAAATCATCTGGGATGATTTGTGTGAACAAAAAGCTTTATCTTTGGTGCCTGTGAAAGGTGTTGGTATTATTTTGGTATTGGTAGAGGTGTTGGTACAGTTGTGGATCTGTACTAATCTAGGCCTTAATGCAGGTTCTCTTCCCTCCTATACAGATGAAGATAATACACATTATATATCATGTAATGATTTCTCAGCTGTCATGAGTGGTATCTCTTTGAAGAGGAAGAGAGGAAGTAACCAAATAATTTTACTCATTCTGACCCTCAAAGTACAACATGGTCAACTGATTACAACTGATTACATACAACTCTGTGTACATTGCTTATTATTTATATCAAGACTAGAATGCAGCTAGGTTAACCTAACAGGCAGTGTTTTGCATCCTGTGTAACCAATTTGCATACTGCAATTTAAGGGACACAATCTGAATCTATACCAGACTGGTCACAAAAGGGCTGGAGGAACAAAAGTGTGAGACTGTTCATTATTACTGGCAATCCAGTCACTTACAGGAATAAAACTTTTATTAGTGAAATCACTCTCAAAACACTTAAACATCCTCCAATTCTTTCCTTGGCAAAGATGACAACACGTTACAGCTGCTTATAAATCTCTAGCTACAACATATTGGTAGATAAAACAGAACTGAATTCTTCTGTGTACAGTTTTCTTTTATACCCATGGAGTTATCTCTGGGGGAGGGATATTCTGAGACAGTCTATTTAAGCAAAGTGTAATCCAAATGGTGAACAAATTTAGTTTTTCTGTGGAGAAGTTCATAGATATACAGTTGCCATGACAACTGCATTTGGCTCTGAAAAAGGAAAACAAATGGCTCTTTTTAGACTCAAGTAATACAAATTTAGTCTGGTTGCATAGAAAAATTGCTTTTTCCCTCTAGTGTCAAATGGTCCTTCTGTAGCAAGCTTCCTTAGCTTCCCTTTTTAGATTTTAGGGGTTTCTTTTCCTTTTTTAGAAAAAAACAGTACAAGTGTTGGAATTACAAAAGGTGAGAGCACCTCCCTTTCCCTACCCTTCCCATATCCAGAGCATGATTTTGTGTTCCAAAATTCTACAGATTGCACCCTAGTTACAAAATAATAGAACCAGATTTCCTGCATCGAACCAGCTTAAAAATGCAAACTTATATTCTTAACTTCATCAGATCATAGAAGACTGGGAAAAGTGGGAAAGAGCTGTTGTTATTGTCTGTTGGGAATGCAGTATATCAGGTCTGAAATGCTTGCTGTGTCTGATGTGAAAAATGGCCAGGGTGAGTTTTTGTTCTGTTGGCAGTTGGACTTTAAACCTTTGGTATTGTATATCCTTTATCAGCTCTACTCTTCCAGCATTTGTGCATGCATATCCCTCCCACGATCAAACAGGCCAGCACAACAGGAATCATTGCAATGTACCAGGACAGACCAACCGCTGGAAAAGTAAACAAATTAAATATTAGAAAAACAGAAAAAAAAAATGAACTCCCAGGAACACAGCTCTCTAAGCTCAAGTTTGAAGAGGAGAAATGACAATAAAAAGGATGTCTGCAAGTTAACCTTCCAGCAGGGCTTATCACCTTTGAAAGGAAGAGATCTATTGACTGAGCACTCTGGGAAATGTGTTCATGAAGATAGGAGAAAGGACTGGAAAACAACAGAGAGTGAGAATTTAAAGTTCAATCATTGCATACACCCAATTTTCTGAACCCCTGATCAGGAGCAGCTGTGTGCTTTCTATCTTGGTTTGTTTAAAGCAGAGATATTCCAAGCAGGAAATTCAAGCACCTTGTGGATCATGAATACTTAACAATTAGTCCATCTTCAAGCTGAATAATTTTTTCCTACAGAGCAGCTTATAAATTAGTAACAATCAACCCAAGACTCAGAACTTCTTCTCAAATCAGCTAAATTCCAACACCAGTGTCTGTCCAGACCATTCTGGATTGTTCCAATGTACATTGCCTCCTCTGTAGTTATTCTGGTGTAGATCATGCAAGACAAGGGCAGCACGTGATCCAGCAAAATGAGTACAAATCCCTCATCATAGACTGCTGGAGTGAGTCATAACTGATAATGAAGTCTGAAAGTGTTCATGTGCCTTTCTAAGACGTGTGAGCAAGCTTTGGTGATTCACCAACGTCATGCAAAGAAACTATTAGCATTGCTTCACATTGTTTATACAGCTGGCTCTTGGCCAATGGTTTATCACACTGCAACATTAATTGTGCTGAATTTAGGTCTTCTCTTCCCATCACTAGGAGCCAAAGTAGCAACACCCATCATAATTTACACTTCTTGTTATTTTGGCAGCAGTCTGTGCATAAGGAAAAGTAACACTCTAATCATTTATTCTGTTATTGTCTTTTTTTTTCCCTACTTGTTGGGGAACTGGAGGAGATTTGGCCGTGCTGCAAAGAGAGTTTGCCAGCAGTCTCACTGGAACACTTATTTCACAAAATGTATCTAAATTGGAGTCTTATCCAACAAACAGATATATCAGCACAGACAGATCCTGCATAAAATGTCAGTAAATGACCTACAGAAGGTGCATTTTGTGAACAGGCTCTATCAAAGACTATTGGTGAGGAAGGCAATCAGATTTTCCCCGGGCAGTAACTTATCCCAACGCTAGCTCTTAGAGTATAAACAGATCAGATGCTAATTTAGCATTAGAATAATAATTATTATTAAAAAAAAAAGAGGTAAAAATAATTACCTTCCTGCTTGACCCTTGTTGGCAGTTCTTGGTATCCGTATCCATTCTGGGCCAGACAGGTAAAGTCTGTGTAAAAGTCCACTTCTTCAACAGAATCAAAAATCAGTGGTACTTCAATGAAGTTTTCACCATTTTCTACAATTTCTCTGGAAGAATAAGAAAGATTTAATGTTAATTATTTTAATAAGATGTTTTTTCTCTATTTGATGTGTTCATTCTAACAGCACATTGCAAGAAAATGCATTGGATATTGCTTCATTTCTGAACCAGCCCCTCAGCATTCAAGGATGCCTGTTGTCTGCAGCCCAGTTGTGCTATTTGAGTCCCAGTGCAGCTTTTGAAATCTAGAGGGAAAAAAATACCTGGATTTGTCTTGCAAAAATAAAAAAAGGGAGGGGAAAAAGGCAAGTGGAATTCTGTGTATCTTTGATACATTAGCATTGTGCAAGGACCTAATTCCTTCTCTGTGACCACCTAAGGTTAATTCTTACAATCAGCAGAGGACATATGGAGAACATAACCCTGCAAATGTTCTCTGAGAAAGCTGAACCACCATTTCTGTCTATCACATGCTCAAAGCCAATAGCTCAATACAAGAAACTGTCCAATAAATTTCCAGCTAATTTCAACATGATTATTTTAGGAATCCCACTATTTGAATGTGTTTTTTAAGCTGGAGTCAAACATTGTCCCTCGATACCTTTTAGCCATTACCAGAGCAGCTGTCCATCATGAGCCTGCATTGCATGGCAGCAATGGATTTCCCTGGGCACTCCTCCCAGGAGCTCTTTGCCAGAGATTTCTGCAGGGAATTTCTTTTCCCAGTGGCATTTGAGCTGTTTTGTCATGCTGCCATAATGAGAGCTTCCAGCAGAACTGGGGTCTCTCACACACTGTGGGTCCTGCAGGAACCTCATCTCTCACGATCCTTGCCCAGTTGCATGATAATATATAACAGGAGTAATAATAGTGATAAGCATAACAAAAACAACTTTTAAAGTCCAAGTAAAAAAGTGCTGCTCTATTCTAAAGCCTGCAGAGACTATAGCTGCAGCACATTTTTATGGTTCCTGGCCACAGGTTCAATGCATTTTCACTTATCCGTATAAACAAGATTATAAATTAATTTCCCCAGTCATGCTGTGGGGAATGGGAAAACACCTAAAGGCTTGGGCATACAGCTGAGTTCCTTGGGCTGCAGCATGCCTAGGCTGTTATCTGGCACTGGTGGCCACAAACTGCCAAAACCATCTCACATCCCTAACAGTTAAACATTCTTGTCCCTCAAAATATGGATGCCACATGTCCAGACTGTTGGAAATGGCCCCTAGCCCATGCTAAACCCTAATCAATAGCCAGAAATCCTTTGGGAAGGTGCTAGCAGGTGTGTGACCAGTTTAGCAAGTAACAGCAGAGGCAATGGCATCCCAGAGCCAAGGACCCTTCTGGGCTCTGTCCACCAGTACAGGCAGAGCCACCAGGCAAGAGTAATGATCTGTTTTGGACACTGATCTTCACGAAACAAGAAACAAAACAAGCTGACTTGGTCCTCAATTAAGATATTTCAGTCAGAAAGTTTAGCTCATATTTACAAAAACACTAGAGGTGTGCCTGGATGTAGTGAGTTACTCAGGTAAGACACCACAGGTGCAGAAAGCAGGTATCCTTCCCTTTCCTGGCGGGAAAAGCCTTGAGGCAGCTGAAAAAAGGCACTTTGAGACTGGGAGACACAATGAATCAGGGCAAGAGGATGTGGAACATCCTGTTTCTCCCTCCCACCAGCATTCCCTTCAGTGCTACCCTAGCATCTGTTCTAGCACTCAGCGGGTGTCAGTGAGTCAGTTTAACTCACTAATGTGGAAAAGAACAAGCTTAGGGGGGAAAACAGTGTTATTTAGAAATTAAAACAAAAACCATCAAACCACCAGATAATTTTCTGTTGTCTTAGTGTATTCTAAGAACCTGATGAATATCAGGAAGAGAACATTGCCATTTTGCTGGAGAGAGGTAAGAGAAGCACTGGGACGGATCAAGTCTCCTTGCTTTCGACTGCAGTCCGCCCTTAAAACAGCTCAGTTGCTCATGAAAATGTGCTTAAAGTTTGTCTCAAAGTTGGCTCATTTGCAAAATACCATGTTACAAAAAACAGAGATAAAGCATTTATTTCACTGACTGGGTTGGGCTTGGGGGTTTTTTGCTTGCCTGCCCTTTTTTTCCTTAGCTCTCACCTTCACTTCAGATCTGTCAATTTTCCATTTCATTACCTGGCATTCAAGTGCACTGAGAGCCCCTGTAGCACTGCAGGTTAGAATATAAGCACAAGGAAGTACTTTCAGCCAGACTTACTGTCGTTCCCCCTCTGTAACTCTGCTTTGTTTATAAACCACATCAACGCTGGTGTCATTTGCCAGCCACTCCACATCAGTTTGGAAATGGCTGCTCAGCCCAACAAACACTTTGCACGGGAGAGTCATCTTGGAGCCTGTCAAAAAAAAAAAAAATTATTGAAAAACAATTTAGACACGTATGAAGAACTACTCTTTCTTTTGGTGAAAACCAACAACTCCAGTGGGAGATCCCACACACGTCAAGAACCACTACTTTCAAAACTGAAGTTAATCTCCAGATTGCTTTTGATCCCCTACTCCTTGGCAGCAAGACCCTTCAGTGTGGCAGCCCTTCCTGCTGCTAACCAAATAATTTCCCTATTGCAACACTTACCAACTCTTGCATTAAACACATTCCCCAGAGGCAAGGCTGTGTCCCTGCAGCCTTGCCCTTTCTGACACAGTGCAGCCCCAAGGGCACTGTGTGATTTACCCCTCTGGAGCAGCTTGTTTTTAATTTAATGCTGTGCATTAACCAGCAGCACAACTTCACTCACAGATGCTGTGGGTGAGGACTTTCAGCTGAAGGTTTGCCCTCCAGGGATAAAGTGATTTTGCAGAATTTCTGAAATTTTTAATCGCTATAATTACTGTAACTCAGGGATAAGGAGATTCCAGACTGATGTGTGTCTATATTATCTGGAAGTATATCTATATACCCAGAAGACAGCATCTGGTTGTAGACGTTAAAAAGCAAAGAATAGTCCAGAACCAACCCTCAACTAATATAATTGAGATCAAAAACCGACAACAATTTATGCCAACAAGTTACACCATAAGAGGACCTGCTCTAGTTTTTCTCTGACTAAACGTTTCCAAATATGATGATGGGCCTTACCAAGAGCAGCTGATGTTGTCTTTTGGGCTGGATACACAATTATCGGGGTAATTCTCTTCTCTTGTTCTTGGCAGAAAAAGAGAACAGAGTCAGTGCTAAGACAAGAGAAAATGCGGGCATGGCCGCAGAACCAGAAACATGCCACTTCAGCCAACACCCGTGGTCTGCCAGGAAAGGGTTTGATTGCCAAAGCCGCCGGCAAGCAGCGATGTAGCCGCTCCCAGGCCGGGGCCCCGCGGCTGTGGGGACGGGCGGGCTCCCGCCGGCCTGAGCCTCGGGTGCGGCACGGGCTCCCCCTGCCGGCCGCTCCGCGCAGCAGCGCCCCGGCCCCGGCTCTGAGACACCGCGGCCTGTCCCCGCCCTGGGCCGCCGCCAAATGGTTGGTTGCCGAGCTCCCCAGAAGGCCTCGGCAGTGACACGCCGCCTCCTGCCCCCAGGACATCAATTATTCCGTTTAACAAACACGGGTACTTGCAGGAGAGACCCCCGCCCCACCAGGGGTGCTGTGGGAGCCCCTTCAGGGACAGGACAAGCGCTCCCTTGGCACGGCTGAAAGGCCGAGCATGAGCTCCTCTCAGGAGTTTCATTAGCAAAGAAGAGATTTTCTTATGTGCTGCAATATGTCGTGTGCATTCTTAGGTGCATGTAATATGTTCTTATGTGTTTTAATATGTCTATCATTGAATCATAGAGCCACAGAATCGTTTAGGTTGGAAGGAACCTTAAATGTCCCTAAAATCTTTCCTAAAAGGTTCCTAGGACCACTAATTCCATCCCTCCTGCCATGGGCATGGACACTTTCCACTAGACCAGGTTGCTCAAATCCCCATCCAGCCTGGCCTTGAACACTTCCAAGGAGGAGGGTAGGGGCATCCACAACTTCTCTGGGCGACCTGTGCCAGTGCCTCACTACCCTCACAGTAAAAACTTCCTCCTAATAGCTAATCTCATCCTGCCGTCTTTCCATTTGGAGCCATTTTCCCTTGTCCTGTCACTTCATACTCTTGTAAGAAGCCCTCTCCATTTCTAAGTCCCCTTCAGGTACTGGTAGGCCACAATTCAGTCACACCAAAGCCTTCTCTTTTCCAGGCTGAATAAACCAAATTCTTTCAGCCTTTCCTTGTAGGAGGGGTGCTCCATCCTTCTGATCATCTGATACTATACTTACCAACAGTCTCCAATTGAATTGTCCTGGTGATTTCATACGCCACACCTTCAAATGGAAATGACATCTTGCAGGTGTAATACCCTGCATCTGTTGGTAGCACAGATGTCATGATCAGAGACGCTGAACCTTTCAGAATGATGAATCTTTCATTGTCCTCATCCAAAGGCTGAGCATCCTGGAGAAAGGACAGAAACTGGTGTTATGACTCAGATAGCTACAGCCTGTGTAACTTTCAGACAAATTATCTCTGTCTCTCTGTTATTAGAAGTCCACTTATCACTGGGAAATCTGAGCAGTTCTGCTTTCCCACCAAAGCACAAGTTCTTTTAATGTGTATCCATCTCTAAAATGCCTTGTGGCACTATATGTGTGAAGTGTGAAGAATTGCTATTTTAATCTATCTATAATGTGTGTGCATAGCTCTTCCATAGTGCGCATTTTAAGATGGAAAACATATAACAGGCTCTTCCTTGAGTCATCTTAAGAGTGATCACACAATATTTTAATACTCACAGAGGTTTTCACAATGTTATCCATACATATCCATGTGTATGTATCCATACTTTCCATACATGACCACAGAAGAATAATATTCTAAGGCATTCTTTGAAGACAAATACTTGTAGTCATGCAGGACTTCACATAACTATTACTTACCCTATAGACTATTAGAAATTCCTGCTCTGTATCCCTAAGGCTCTGTTCACGCACGGTCTGGAGACCTGCTAGGAGAAATTATGTTCCTCCCTCATGAAGGCAGGGTAGGTCTTTCTTACATTTGTAACAAGAGCCATATTGAGGGGGGCAGCCTTTCGCTTAGATAAAGTGGGTTATGTTCCCACTTCTGAAGGGAGTCCTGAGCAGCAACATTTTGCTGGTATGGTACAGCTCATAACCTAGGCACTGCAAGCCAGCCTGTATATTGCATCCTCTGGTAAGGCTACAACTGCACAAGGCAGAGTGTGTGATCATAGCGGGAGAGTAAATAACAGCTAAACCAAGGTATTATGGAAATGGAAGAAGAATCCCCTGCCCTCCAGTGTGAAATTTAACAGCCAAGGATGTTGTATTTGGTCTTAGAGGCCAAACCAGGCTTGTCTACTTGAAAAGCAGCAAACTGGGCAGTTGGGCAAGAGAACACTCCAAGCATTATGTAATTCATCCAGTATTTCCAAATAGTGTATTCCACTTGATTAACAAAAGCTACCCCACCGGAACATGGAAGCAGTATCCCTGGGAGGTCTTACTTTATGGGTTTCACTAGAGGGGCCATGAAAAGAAGCACAGTGTCAAAGAGAAGGGCCTGATATCAGGTGGCAAACCCTGTAGTTGGGTAAATAATCTATCCTTATAACAGTTGCACTGCCTGTGAGAGCATAAAACGTGTGAAACACTTTATCCTGTGCTGAATGTTCCCCCGAGAACTTTTCTTAAAATGTGTACTTCTGCCCCAAAATTCCCAGTATATTACACTATGCTAGTGACTTAAGAAACATGATGTACAGGAGAAAGGTAAAGTGGATATTTATATGCCAATTTGGGGCGAGGCTATGCACAAAGAGGAAGTAAATGTTCTACCTTGTACCACTTGAGCTCCAGGCTTGTCCTATTTGGTGTAAAATCCCACAGGTCAGGACAGACAATCTTTCCAGAGGTGAAAGTGAAGAGGACCTGGTGATAGGCAATGTCCCGAGCAGATGTTTTCTCCACAACTGTGAGGTGGATGGAGACCTCGGCACAGTAGGAGGAGTTCCTGGTGACAGAGCAGGGAGAACCCCCAAGAGGGATGAGAGGAACTCAGTTGACACCCTTGGTTTCCTCCTGGCTTCATTTCCCTCCTTAACAGAGGCCAAGACTGAGATCACACCAGAAGGGATGCTGGAAAATCACTGGTACTGTTCTTTTGGCACAATCAAAACTTGTTGCTGACACGTGTCTGCCTCAGACCTTCAGTCTTTTCTTTTCTTTTGAGTACAAGTTTCCTGTGCACCTTTAGGCTGCAGCACGATTTTAACTGTGTCAGGAGGGGAAACACATTAACCTGAACAGTAGCAGGTGTGTCATGAACCCCCTTGTCCTTGGAAGAGGTTTTGACTGTGAAAACCCTAATGATTAAATAAAAAGCTTAAAGCATGCATTACAATACATCTGCAGTTACTATTGTACAACCATAGACGTCTCTGTGAGTACATATAATTTTCTGTAGCAAATAAGGCATTCTGGCTTTGAAAGGTTCACAATATTCAACTTTTCTTTCTGGCCTCAAGTGACAATCACTTCCAGTCCCAAGGAAGACCGCACTGGGAGAGATAGATGCTTAAATTCCATCCTTTATAACCTCTGGAACCCTCCTTCAGAGATGCTTCTCTCTGTTCAGGGCAGTGCATGATCCTTGAAGGAGCCAGTGAAGCCAGGAGGGCCAGGCTGCCACCTCCAGGAGAGCAGCTGTGAGCTGCAAGCAGACAGACTGACACTATTGCTAGGGCACTGTGGCCATCTGTCACATGCAACCAGATGCCCAAATCCAAAATATTTGCTACACAGAACACAGAAGCAGAGACCTGTGATAGTTTGCTGCTACCTTCCTTTTACAGAGTTGATAAAAAGATCTGCTGGCTTCCCTGCAGGATAATTTGTAAAGGAAATGTAACTTGCTTGTACTTTCAAACAAATTTCACAGCACTTTACTATATCTCTCAGTAACACTGCCATAGTGTTATATATTGACAAAGTAAGGCAGAATAGTTCAAAAATGGGTTTTAAAAGCACTCTTGAACATCTCAGGCAACTATTCTGCTCCAGAACAGTATTTACAACCTTTTGCTGTTTGGGCATCACTACCAGCACCTTCTCTTCTGCTCCACTACTGAAATTGCTGCTGAGACATGGGGAAAAGCCAACCTGACACACCGAGCATGATTTCTCAGCTTGTCCATCTCTTGTACTGCTGACACACATCCCAAGGTGTGCTGTGCAAGCAAGGAGACCATGCTGTCCACAAGCAGATCCAAGGATGTAGAGATATATTCTCCAGTATAAGCCCCAGAGCCAAGCGCCAGAGGTATACTGAGAGGTTGGCTGGCAGCAGGAGATGGCAGGGAACAGGAAACTGGAACTTCTTCAGAATTTCAGGCTCTAAGGGTGATGGGGTTTTTTGCCTTCCAGGTTCTGGATTTGTCCTCAACAAATCCAGAACCTGGCACCTCTTTTGACATGGCACAGTGCTCTGTCGGATTGAAAACACTCAGAAAAAAAATTATCAATAGGGCTGAAGAGAGCCATGGCTAAAGTCTCAACTCACTGCAACACCACAAGTCTGGTACTACCTAGTAAATACACACTAGTCTCATGAAAATTCTGCCAACAGTACCAAGTCAATCAAATTCTGGTTTAAAACGTGACTCAGAAGAAAAGTGAAGACCAGGGATATGGAGGTGGGAAGAGAAAAGCCACTGCAGAGCTACAATGCCTTCATAAGGCAATCTGAGGTGCAGCAAGTGTATTTGTGCTCAGCCAACGCGCTGCCTTCAGCATGTCCCACTTGTCATAGCACTGACTGGCTCAGAGGTAACTAGAAAAAACTCTATACACTATTGTCCTATGAGATTGTAGCCAAAGTGGCAACGCTGTTTCACCATTTATCCAGATTTCAGTACTGGTAGCTATAGGAGACATACAATACACTCTAAGGTCCTGACTTCCCACATTTTTTCTCTCTAATAAGGACAGCAAGGAAATTATCCAAAAATGTTCTGAATATAACTGGGGTTTACAATCAAGATAATGCATTTAGACATAGTCATTTGTTAGTGAACTAGATTTTCTTTTAAATACCTACCTTCTTGTGCAGATATATACTCCTGAGTCTTCTAGCATCACTGGTAAAAACCAGAGTGCATTTCCTTTAGCCCAGATTCTTGATTCTTCATCTCTTCCTGATATCATGGTGTTTGAACCATTTTTATACCATGTGATATTAGGGGTCAAGGCAGAGAAATCCAAATGTTTGTAACTGGGGGAAGGGCATTTCAGAACCACAGGTTCTCCATGCAGTTCATAGTAGTGTTTGAAATACACGGTGTGATCTGGGCAGTTTTCTATACAAATCAGAGATATTTTTACATTACTGTCAGAGAGGAACATTTAAAAGAATGGTGAGGGAAACAGAAGGAAAAAAAAATCTACACTTACCTGTGTTTTTTACTTGCTGGAGTCTGAAAGCAGTGGCACCTACTGTGCATGTCACCAGGACAAAGAAGAGCCCGTGCATTTTTTTCCACAGGAAATCAGAAGAAGAGGGTGGAAGGAAAGTGTTTTGAAATCTACAAGGAAGTGTATTACAAGACAGATTATATAATCAAAATACTCAACACTATCTAAAGAATTAACTGCTATTTTTCTCACTCCAGACCTGGGGAGGTTTGGTCCATTCTCAGAAAGCAGAAAGGTGCCTCTGTCCCTAGTTTATGGGAGCTGAACTGTGGAACCAGAACATCTGGCTTGGCACACACATATCACTTTTGGCACTTCCCTTTCACTCCAGAAGATGAAGACAGCATACCACAAGTTACTGCTGTCCCCACAGCTTTTCAGAGCAACAACTACGGGTGGAAACATTTAGCTCTGCTTATTTTACAGTAAGATGTGACTGAGGCACAGGTCAGCTGCATCGAGTGAGCTGTAGTGTAGTAGCTTGGGTGAACACAGGAACAAAGTAGGCCAGCTAGTGTGAATCAGGCTGCAGGAAAACTTCCTGCTACAAGCAGAGCCAAGCTTTCTTGTCTCCAACAAATATTTCTGCTGGGACAAAAAACATGGACTCCTCTGGCATGTATACTCATCTTGATGGTGGTGCACGAGTTTTCAGCATGGACACTATTACCATCTGTTCTAAAAAAAAGATAAGGAGAACTCTGAACAACCTGTCCTAAAAATCAGACAAGGTGGCTGCTAAGGGACAACAAAATTCTCCTCTGCCAGTCATTCATCAAGTGTCATCTGTACGGACCTGACACGGCCATGGCAGTGTCTGTGTACATCACTGAATGCTTCTGCCTCAGCTCCTGCTAATCAGTTGATTGATTATACTTTACCCTTGGTGTGCCATGGGCAAAAATATATAGAACATGCTGGATAGAGGCACTAGTTTATGCTCTGTATAAGGAATTCATGAGAAATACAGTACACATATCCACATGATACATTTCCATTTTATGTACAGAAATGGAAATTGCATGCATTTAACATTATCTTAAAACTATGATGAATATTAAATGACTGTACAACTATTTCAAATCAAAACCAAAAATAAATATTTCTACCAATATAACAAAGCCATATTCATAGGTATACACCTTTGGGCATCTTTTTGTATCCCATCATGCTCACACTTCCATCATGGTTTTAATCCAAATTTTTTCCTGTTCTAGTAGCTATACTTACCTGACATCTGACAGTTTGAATACAATAAACGATTTCCAGATTACTGTACAACACCACAAAACCAACCTCTTGCTCAATAATAGTCTTTCATAACCATGGGTCATCTCCCCTACTCTTAGGTCTGCCCGGGTTTCCAGGGAATTGGTATGGAGCTCTAGCCTCTCTCAGCTACAACTGAACCAGGTGCTAGAGGCATTAAGGGTTCACATCAATACCCTGTGGCAGGTGAGTTTCTCTCTCTTCAGATCCTTTGCCTGACAAAAATACTTGGTTTTTTTATTCAGAGCTTTCTGGTCCCTTTGGTTTAGTAACTAACAATCTCCATAAGACATTTGACGGTTTAAGGAAGGTTTTCATTCCCAAATTTCAGTCAGATTCACTTACCTGTGTTTTTGTAGTCTTTCAGCCATAAGCATCTCACAAAAAGAAGCTATCGGACTGAAAATTCCTGGTGAGAACCTTATATAGGGTTGAGCTCAACACACAGCGGAAATTTGTCTCTCATTGCCCAATCAGATTTGTGTCAAAACCAAATAACGTTTTAGACCCAACTTTCTTTCCTTCCGTAGAGTGAGGATAAGAGAAACAGAGGCACAGACAGAGAGAAAATATGTGTTTGGATTTCCCAAAAAAAGGGGAAATGACTGCTAAATATATGACTAATTTTCCCCTTTTCTGACGAATGGTAGCTTACATACACTCATGTCTTCACATGACTATTTCACACGCTACCTCAAGTAAAAAATTTCAAGGGTAACAAAAGGTGCACTGCAGCATAGTCAGCAGCTAAATAATTGCAATCTTCACATTTTGTGATTTATCAAGCTGTTCATGGACAACATAAATCTTCTGTGATCGTCTGTGATTTCCTGGTGAATCACAAATGTGCTGATTCCTCTCTTCTCATAACATCCATTTTAGTCTGACAGCCTGCATTAAGGCTCTCTTGCAATGGGGTATAAAGAAGTAACAGCTAGAAGCAAATTATGGTTTCCAGGCTCATGGGGAGGAGTAAGAAAAGCATTATGAATTGTGGCAATTTTGGCCTTTTAGAAGAGGGTAATCAAGTGAGGGACTGCAGTTCCCAGATAGACTAATATCCTCAGATACATCTAAGAAGGATCAACAATTTTCAACAGCTTTCTTCAGAAGGGTTCTGCTTTGACTGTCTTTTTATCCAGAAAATATCTTGATCACATGCAGCAGTCTCAGGACTGCTCAAGTTTCAGTTGTTCCTCAAGTTTCAGTTGTTTATCTGGAGGTGCAAAAGTCTGGTTTAGAATAACCCAGGAAGAAAGGAAAGATAGAGCAAGAATTTTATAATTTTTTTTTAGTAGATGTCTGCTGAGAAGGCCACATTGTTTTGTGGTTAGCTATCACTGAGTATTTATAAACAGAAATGTGCAAGTCTAGCAGCTATATATATAGAGAGACTCTCTTAGGGAAGCTGGTGTCATTCTGTGGTTTTGTTCTGCTGATGATTCATTGATACAGCTCAAGATGTTAGAGTGTAGCTGTGAAATTCCTGACTTGAAGACCAGACTATTCCCCATACGTCTCACTCGTTGCTCATCTCACTAGATAGATATTTCCCACACCAGGGCTACATGCAGTTCCTTGCCACAGTTGGGTGGATTTTGCTGTCCTTGGATATGCGAATAAAATAATCAAAATATCATTAAATATCTAGTCTTCTGGAAGTTCCTTGCAACAGAGATTTTCAAAGGGCCTCCACAAGCAAGGTGTGTCTGTCCATTATCCCTAGTCAGTGGAAGTCAGGCATCATGGAATGGGGATTACACCGTTTCTACAAGGGGCAGTAAATGTGCCAGGTTCTTGTAGCAGCTCCCAGGTTTTGCAGCTTCTCCTGGAGGAACTTACTCTGTTATAGTGGTTCTGTGGCTGATAATGTTTGGCATCCAAGAACTGCAATCCCTTGGACTTCATTGTTTATTCTGTTACCCAGTTTGGCTAAGCGAACTTCATGCAATTAAAAACTGAAGTAAATTTCTCTGGTTCACATAAGAATAAGGTGACAAGATATTAAGAAATACTGAATGTTGAAAGCTGACTGGCAAGCAGATGCGAAGTAAACCACAACTATTGCACCAACACATGTTCTTGGGCTTATTGATATGAGCAAACCTGTTTTTAATAATTTATAATACCCTTGTGCACAGTTCCAAGATGGGGTCTTGAGGAGCACAGAAAAGGAAAGAAATGGAACTCTTCAACTGGGACAGAAAGAGAAAAACTAAACAGAGGGATTAGCACAATGCACAACAGACTCCAAGAATACAGGAATTTGCATGCTTAGCCAGAGGAATAAGTGCTGACATACCCCAGTTGTATATGACTAAGTGGGAGAAAGAGAAAACGATGAGCCAAGGGATCCACTTTGTCATGAGGGAGCGCTAGTTTGGCCAGAGCAGCCACGGCTGGGTTACAGATTGTCTCAGCACTACAGGTTCCTGGGATTTCCAAAAACTCTTTCACTGCAATAGAAAGCAGGCACACTTGAAAAATAATTATACTCTCAAGAGCTGGAAGGGTCAGGGAGGAGGAGACCCTCAGTGTAGAAATGAGCAGGGTACAAGGGACAAAGTAACACCTAGAGAGGCCCAGAGTATCTGTGCACAGGCACACAGCCATAGACTGGTGAAATAAAGAAATTATTTCTGAAAAAGTGGGGTTTGCTGGATTTTATTTAAAGTAGAAAACCATCCCTGGGCACAGCCTACTTGATATATGATGCTATGTGGAAAAGCAGTGATGGAGTACTGTTGCAAAGCTGAGTTTGTTGAGAGCAGTAAAGTGATATTTATCTCCCTATAAACTGAACTGAGGAGGATAATCTAAACTACTAAATAGTGACAGTCTAAACATCAATGCATACTAGTGTATCTCTCAAATGACAATAAAAGTCAAAAAATATCTCTTACTGCTCTTCCTTCTCTTATGGATAAAATGGTGCATAGATACACTGGATTTTGGTCAGGGATATGGTTTGGGTTAGGGATCAGAGAGCAAAAGAGCCTAGGGCTCCAGGGACACTGGGAATGGAAAAGGCATGTCAAGAGGACCATAGCAGGGCTTCAACATTGCTGCCCCTATACCTAGAACCGTTCAGTTTGGGAAAAAACTCTATTATCAAGTCGAACCATTAACACAGCACTACCATCACTAAACCGCATCCCCAGGCACCCTATCCACATGCCTTTTAAACACTTCCAGGGATGATGATTTCACCATTTCCCTGGGCAGCATATTCCAAAGCCTGTCCATCCTTTCAGTGAATAGATTTTTCATAATGTCTAATTTTTTTCATGAGGTCTAAACCTTCCCTGGTTCAGCTACCATGCCTTAGTGCAGGGCACCAGGCAAGGCTGCAGCACCCACGGTCACTTGCCACGCCAGGGCTGGGAGGATGGGCTAGCTGGGAGCCAGCAATGCCGAGGAGAACAGCAAGCAGACATTTCCCACAGCTTTGGTGTCTTCTCAGACCATAGGCTGTGAGTCAGTAGGGGCACTAGGGACATGACAGGAAAAAGAAAGCTAAGACTGCTGACTAGCGTTTTCTTTTCTACCAGTTCCAAAATCATAGTGTTTGCTTGCAATCATGATCAGTGTTTTTTATATATGAAAAACCATAATGTGCTCTGTGGTCTTTCATGTGAGAAGTGTTGAGGGATTTAAAAACACAGCAGTCATTACAAAAAGCCCACAGTAACAGCAGACAGAGGAGGAACTGTGTCCAGTTGAGGATCATGAAATCATATAGAGTTACATGAGCCAGAACAACATGGACAAAAGAAAATTTCTAAACCAGTTGTGGTGCTTGACTTAAGCAGCCAACCCAGCAAACAGGGATTTCGGAGGCAAAAAGAAAAACAGATGACAAAGATTTTTGTTCATAATTGCCTTTTTGTTACTGAACTTAAATCTAGTAGGTAAAAAAGCAACTTCATAGCTATGAAAAACAGTAACAAACATCTGGTCTGTGATAAAGGAAAAATTGAGCTGGTACATATCATACATTATTGTAGGTGTACCAGGAGGGTAATATTAAACATTACTTTTTTATTACATGTTCCTGAATCAAGTATTTGTATCACCAAGAAGATGAAGTCATTTATGTAATGCTGGCAGTAAATCTTCCATTTGTCTTAGATTTACTGTCATTCTGAGACACAAGTATATTTCACACACCTGTTTTAAGCAGCAGTCATATAAAATACAGGTAGTCAATCCAGTTACCCAAGATATTTGTTCTCTACTCCACTACATTAATGTGTAATTAATTAACACAGGATTTGGAGGGGGCTGGGGTGGGAGACAACACATGCAATTGCATATGGTATAGAAAAAGAGACAACAAATTTGCAGTCATATACTTAGCATTCTCTCTTTGTGCTTGTCCTGTATGTAGTGTCACAATAACCAGTCAGCAATTCTGACTGGCATCAAGAGTTGCTCAAGAAACAATTGAGCAAGGCTTGCTCTGGATCTGTGAAATAATAGAAGAGAGGTTTACAAATAAATGAATAGCAAATAATTAGATGCAACATATACTGCTTCTAAAAGAAGAGGCAGGGGAAGAACCAGTGTGTGCAACAGCAGGAATTAGGAGAAATCAGATCAGTTCAGGAGAAACAGAGCCAATCCCAACAACACCATTGTTCCAAAAAAGAAATACAAAAGCAACCAAGTGATGCTGCAAGACCATACGTGCTTGTAATAAAGGGCAGGAAGGCCCAGTCTGTCTTTTTATTTTATCTGTTCCATTGGTGGACACACTCCGTGAAGCACTGAAGAAGGTCAGATTTTGTATCATTAGTCAGGTTAATGAACACATTTGTTTTAATAAAAACAGTTAACATCAGCCAAGCTTGGAGTGTTCTGTTACAACAGCTGACCACGTAACAAGAGTACAAATACACATGGGGTAACAAAACTGATCTTGGGAGGATTTCAGCCCTCAAATGCCCTTACTTATGCCCTTTTCCAGCACATAATGTTCTGTACCAGACTGAAAGGGAACTCATCATTTCAGCAACTGTTTTTAAAGACCTTGGGAGGATTTTACATAAAACAATATTGAATGTTATTTGTTTAAATCATTGCTATTGATCATATTTTGAAAAGAAAAAGAAGATATTTTAACAATAGTGGTGCTTTACTATGCAAATTTTCCTTAATTACAAGCTGGAAGAGTTTTCATTCAGACTTAGTTGATTGGAAGGCTTTACCATTTGCAGGAAAATTTGGGTAACTTTCATTAAAGTGTGCAAGAAACTGGTTGGTGAGTTTTCCTTCAAAACATTCCTGGATTGAGACCTTCCTTCTAAATGAAACTCAGATCCCTGCTGGTCCTTCTGGCTGTAGCTTCCAAGACCTGTTATCTCAGAGGCATTTATTTCACTGGAGA